AATCACGGTGCCTGGGGGTGTGTCGAGTACGATAAATCTGAAATTCCGTTCTCTCAGTCCTTTAGCAGCTGCTTTTGTGTCTTTCTTATTCAAAATATGCAATTGGTGGCGACGGCAAATGCTCTGATTTTGTACGGTGACACGTGCCAGTTTTGCCATTCTTAATATGCACCAACGATCGGTTTCACATATTGGAGAATCTATGCTTTCTCTTTACATTGCGAATGGGCGCTGTCTGCTCTAGTTGTGTCTTCGTATTAGTGTTGACTTCATCGTGATCGCGCTTTGTGCCGTGTTTCTGTGACTCTCTTTGACGATACAAACTCGTGCTAAGTTCGTTTTTTATATCTTTATCGTAGACGCTCCTCAGAAAACATCTTCAGTACTTCCACACCCGTCAACTTTGATCCGGAACACAGTAACTGGTCGGAGATGTTAAAGGTGTCGGAGAGTGAACGACCAAGTAGGTTTTGCGTTACCAAACATTTGACAACCTGTGTTCCCCCTTCCTCTCATTCCCTTATGCCTAGTCCAAATTGCGCTTGTTACGGTGGCTTTCTCTTCCTTTTGTCCTCACTCCAGTTCTGATGGGCGGTGAATTTCTGGACCGCACAGCTCATGCAGGATCGGTTCTGTCTCGCTGGTGCGCCTCTCTTGAGGCCTTCAGTCGAAAGTTCTCAGATGATGTCGGCACCGAAAGTCGCAGTTACATGGTTGAGCTCGGGCGTTTCACTGAGAAGGAGGCTCGTTTTCGCAAGGAGATGGAACGTTTGCGAAATGCCACACGCCGCGACCTCACGCTAGTGGTACGTTTCTCCTTTAAAAGGAATATTTTACTAGAAACTGAGTAGGTAAGGTTGGCACTGTTGGTGGTTTGCCTGGCAGTTGCTATTTTCATTGTTTTACGGACAATTTGTTGCATTATTTTTATGACGTTTCCGTCTCGAAGCCTTCTATCTGTAAGCTCTTCAAGTTCGGTTGTCACACTTCATGTTGTCTGCTTTGTCCTCTAAAATATATCGTCTCATGAACCGCACAAAAAACCACAAGACGAGAAGCAAGACCTTTAAAGCAATCTCCTAGGGCCTTTGGTTGTCGCTTGCCTCTATCTTAGGATAAAATAAGGCTTTCTGAAACGCCCGTCTTGCGAAAAGTAGCCAATCAAGCTGCACCAGTTCACTGATTGGCTGCAGGCAACCGAGGACCCACGCTCTGGGAGCAAGACTCAACGGCGGACGCGAGCACCCAAACGCTCTACCAACTCGTTAACTGAGCAGAAGCTCGTCAAGCGAAACAACTTTTCTACTAGTGGCTCGCTTGTTACCTGAAATGCTCGTAGATGGGGCTGCTCGTCATCCGAGGCTCCACAACACGTTGTCTGATTTGGCTTCCAAAATCTACTGTCTCACGGATCGTATAAAAGCAAAACCTTTAAAGCGCACTTTATTAGGGCCTCTGATTATCGCTTGCCTCTAACTTAGGAGAAAGTGGGGCTTTCTGAAAAAGTGATTATTACTGTGATAATCAGATACCTTTGCTGAAACCCCATTTTGTCCTTGTTCTGCTTTCCAAGCTTGAATTTATGGAATGAAGACTTTCTCACACCGGTCAGGCGTCCCCAGTCCAATTTTTGCAATTTACCCGTTGACAATTAAGGCTACTCTTTTCTGTATTCAGATGTACATTTTTTGTCTCGCTCTCAACCCTTCCCCCCTTTCTTTTTCGCGTTTAGGTTGACCGGGAACCTCAGGCCCTCCTCTTAGGCACTGTTCGCCAACTGAACGTGGAGTTCAGTAAGCGTGTCGTCCAGGGCCAGTTATCGAACAGCCTGCTGCGAACCAGCTCCGAATTTGAGCGGACGCCTCTGTCCTCCTCGTCCTCCTCTGGAGCAACA